TAATAATAATGTGTCCTCATTTACCCTAAAGGTGCATCTTTCAGTGCCACTTGTCAATCCAGTGGGTGGCCAATCAGGTTCCAGAGGTGCACTGTAAAAAATGAAATGTTGGATTTACTTAGCCATGTTATGTGACCTGGTTCCACTTAACTGAGTTGAGTAAATTCAAGGCAATATACCAGTTTTTTAGCCAAAGAACATGAGTATGTTGCTTTGAATTTACTCAACCCAGTTAAGTGGAACCAGGTAACATAACATGGTTAAGTAAATCCAACATTTCATTTTTAGAGTGTGGAAACACCCTCTCTGCTCCACCTCTGCAGCTACAATCAGAAATCTGCCTCCCAATGTGTGTTTATGTTGACAATGCATATCCATGGTAAAGCTTAGCAACAGTTCACCACAAAACTGACAATATAGCACTGTTGTTTTACTACTACACCCTTAACACAAACCATAAAAATAACGTGCAGTGTGTAAAACAGAAAAATTATAGCAGAAAAATGCAAAACGCTGGCCCTGTGATGGACTTGCGACCTGTCCAGGGTGTACCACGCCCCTCGCACTGTGACTGCTGGATATGGGCACCAGTGACCCACGCAACCCTGAAAAAAGGAAGAAGCGTGTACAGAAAATGGATGGATGGATGAAATGCAAAATGCTCAGTATAACTGCAGAACTAGCTGAAGTCTTTGCACTTATTTAATCTGTTCTTTTGTAGGACAGGGGAAAACCCTGAGAGCTTTAACTATTTTCACATGAGCTAAAAAAAAAAAGTTAATGTGGACTGCAGTAAACAGTTCTTCTGGCTGTGCTACACATGAATTATTTGTCTATCTTTGACTGCTGATACCTTACAAGTAATCAAGACAGCCTTTGGAAAATTTTTCCACCAGATGATCCAACATGCTGTCCCGTAGTTGCCTCAGTGTGGGCGTATTTCTTGACTTCACACTCAATAATGTTTGCCTGAAGTTCAGTGAGGACATGAGCAAGTGTGTCTCTGTATTCGGGAGCCAAATAAAACGGGAAAAGCCCGAATCATAATAGTAATATAAATAAATGGAGGAGTGCTTATGATACAAACAGGCAGGCAGCCAAATGGGCATCAACAAGGCCAGAGAGGCAGTCTCATTTTTCCTCCTGACAGAAATGTCTACAACTAAGTGTGTGTCCTTTAAGTGGAGTTTAGATTGTCAACAGATGAAAATATACTGTGTTAGCATTACTGGACGGCTGTTACGAGGCCAGGACACACAAATCTCAGCTCTGAAACACACTGCTCTCGCTGCCCGCATCCTACCCTCATTTTTGCACAGGAAACTGCCCAGGATTTGATCTTAATTAGCTTGGCAGTAAGTAATAACATCCTTGGAGGATTAGCGATTATTGTGACAGATTAGTGCAGAGAAACTGACCTGGATTAGGTGTGAGTGGTCATACAAAAGTGCTCTGATTATGCCTGATTTGAAGGAGTGGTTTTTGTCGATATGGAGATTATGTTTTGGGACCGAGCGGCAAAATGTATGTCAAAAAAGCTGGGCAGGGCTGTTATCTTACATTGTGCTGAAACTGTTGTAGCGCTGATTAATTTCACCGTAGCGTGTTTTGTTGTGTCAGTGGAATTGGATCAGACATTCTCTGGGTGGTAAAGGTTGGCTTTTCCTAAGGTACTTCTGTGGTCGGCTCAATTGGGGTTTAGAAATGGTAGAAAATCCAAGACAAACTCAAACTGAGGAGTCTGTGTTCAACGTTTTTTCTACGTGATCAGAAATCCTCTTTTTTCGAGCATGTACGTTGGAGCTTGTGTTCATTTGCAATGCACCATCGCTTCCAAATAAAACAGAGTTTATTATTTCACCTTTTCTACTCAAAGCTCTGCAACTGCTTCCAATAAATTGTTTTTGCCTGTCTTTACCCAGTTGTTGTGTTTGTTTTCTGGATTCTGCAAAGAATAATTTGTCGAGAGGTGCTGTCAAATACTCTGACTGGTTGACATCAGGCGGAGCTGTTCCTTTTTAAATGAGCTCACTCTGACGCGTTGACGATTAAAGAGCAGGCTTTGATAATTTTTCAGAGGCTGTGACTGTTATGCTTAAAGAGGCGCTCTCTATGATTCTTGGCCTGAGCCTTATTTTCTGTGTAAATTACGTACAAAGAAAGTTTAAGAGGTGTTTCTCAAGGGCTCAACAGTTTTTACGCTCTCACTCCAGCGGCAAATCCACGATGGAAAAGCTGAACTATACACAAATCTCTGTGTTTCTGTGTGGTTTTGGGGCTAAGGTAGGGGGAGTGGGATCAATTGCTCGGCCTCAGCTGCAGCATCCCAGAAAACCCCCAAGAGGCTGGTCTGAAGGACAGGTGGGGAGCCACTGACTGCCACCTCAAACCACTGTCAACACAAAGGGGGAGTGAGTGGTTCAAGCATACCCAGAGACCTGAGACAGACAGGACGTGTTCAAACACAGCCACATCTACTGAAC